GTATGAGTTCTAATGATGTGTACAACACACACTATTGCATTATTTTACCTATCTTCCTAGAACAATTAGAAAACCTCAAGGCTCAAATATAAATAATAACTGCCTTCTGTCGTTTTTAGCAAAATAGTTCACCTTACCCAGGACACATCTGAGATGCTCTTGCAAAATAAGTTCTGCTACAGAAAAATGTCGACTACTTCATTTTCTACTTTTTTCAGAAGGATGAACCACATGGTCTCTCTTAGCTCAAAATAATCAATTAGTAACATAAATCACACAATTAACAGGGCAGAAAATGGCAAGGCAGCCAATACATTTTTTTTTATTCCATTTACCCAAAGTAGCATTTTTCCTTACAATATTCACACAAAATTTCTTCATTAAAAAAAAATCTATTTTCCCAAACTGATGAGGTTGATTCTCCAACAGTCACATTTTAAGTCCTTGGTGTAACTGGCAAAAGTTTGGATATCCCAACCCTTAGCTTTCACTTTATTAAAGTACAAATTGCTTTGTGCAATTATCTCCCTTCAAGTGAAATAATGTGCTTCAAAGTCACAGCATCTCACATAAAGAGACTGTAGTCATACGAGCAGTGTGTACAATCACCACCCCCTCCACAGCGTCTGTGTGCTGTTCACGATCCTGCACATCTCAGCTGCATGGGCTGCATCCCAAATCTAACTCCTCCCTAAACTGGCTGTCTAAATCAAGTGTGCTGCTATCTTGGGACACAGTCGGTAAATTTAAAAAACACGTGTGTGTAGTCTTAGTGGAAGACAAACAAGAAAAGACACAAAAGGAATCAAGGTGATTTAAAGACATTTTAAAAATAGGAACTTTTTGCATACAGTAAGCCCAAGGTGGCAACGAAACCATCAGAAAGAAAGAACAGAAGTGAGAAAAGAAAGATCTTGTGTCAAGAAAGCAGTGCTTCCAGTGTGGTCTGACATAACAGCAAGTGCTGGTGTGTGTGGAGCATAGACAAACTGCAGGCAAGCACACAGCAGAGCAGGTCAACAGAGTCACCAAACAGCAACCCTCTCCAGCAACTCCTCTCCTGGCAGAAATGCTGTGGAGGCATATTGCTCCAAGTGCTATATCATTGATGTTCATAGCAGCATTACTAGGAATTACCCAAGATGGAAATGATCGAATTTCAACAACAGTATGTATAGTGCAGTGAAATATCATGGAGTAGTGCCAACTGGCAAACTCTAGCTAACACAAGAACATATCCAAATGTATCACCATATTACTGAACCAAGTCAGACAGACACGAACACTATGTGCTTCCATGCATAAAAAATTCAAATTAATGCTAGCTGTCTGCAGAAGCTGGGGGTGGGGTAGGATCCTTGGGAACACCCACAGGTGGAGGGGCTCCAGAGTGCTACAGGTGTTTTATCTTTTGATGGGATGACTGCTACAGGAGTGTTTGTTTTCTGATCATTAAGCTTCTCATATTCTGTATATTTTTCTGGTATGTGTTCCATTTCACAAGAACAAAAATAAAAAGGAATTCCAGTCTGGCACATTTCCACCAAAGAAAGGCTGGAAAGAAACAATGTTAAGTGGCCCCTGCTAGAACACAGTTACAGGAGCTGGCAAGAAAGCGGTCACCTGGGCCAGTGCTGTGGTATAGTATAAGCTGCCACCTGTAAGGCTGGCATCCTTTATGTGTACTGGTTCAAGTCCTGCCTGCTCCACTTCCACTGCAATTCCTTGTCAACATGTATGGGAAAGCAGCAGAGTACATCCCAAGTGTGTGGGCCCCTCATCCGTTTAGGAGACCCAGAGTCTGTTTCCTGGCTTCAGCCTGACCCAATCCCAGCCACTGCAGCCACTTGCGGGGTGGACTGTGAATTAGTGAACAGAAGACCTCTTTCTCTGTGTTACACTTTGAGTGGGAGTGAGAGAGTGTGTGGGGAGGGAGGTTGGTGTGTGTGTGCATGTGAACTCTGCCTTTTAAATAAATCTTTCTTAAATCTTTCTTTTTAAAACAAGAGACAGGATTCCCTCAAAGAGCCATCTTGGATACAAACAAAGGAGAACTAGGACTCACCTCTTTTTTTTTTTTTTACCAAATTTAGCATTTCCTGGCATTGTTTACTTGAATTTCACAAGCCCACATTGATTCCTGAAGTCTGCAGGGTTCCTAGTCTTCCATGATTTGGGTTTCCTTCCGAGCCATCATGGAGTGATTAGGAAGCCACAGAGAGCTCGTCTGGTCCAACCTCTAGCATGCCAGCCCAACGGGCACAAACCCTGAATCAAAGTTCCCTGAAAGGGAATTTTCAAATCACCCTCAGTTACCATTTGGAGCATAAACACCATGACTACTGCTAAGCCTCTCCCATAACTAATCAAAACCCAAAATTCCACTCAACAGGAAGGGTCTGCTGCTTCCTCCTAATTAGAGCCAGGTTGTCTGCTTCAGTTTCCACACACAGACACGATGCTGTGTGCCTCTGGGGCTGCTTATGAGGAACAAGGGACACACAGTGCCACTCTGTCTCACTAGTGATGAAACCCTCCATCACTTAAGATAGCTTCCACTGGATTTCTCCTTTATATTTTCCCTCCATTATAATTATTTTTTGCTTTTACTTATTTTTTTTAATTTACCTTAGAAACAGAGATGAAGATCTCCCACCCACTGGTTTTCTGGATCTGGACCAGGCTGAGGCCAACAGCCAGAAACTCCATCTGAGTCACCGCATGAAATGGCAGTGACCATCAGTACTTGAGCCATCACCACTGCCTCCCAAAGTCTGCCTTAGCAAGAAGCTGATGTTGGGAGCAGAGGCGGGACTTGAACCCAGACACTCTGACACACTAGGGAGAGTCCCAAGCACTATCCAAGCCACTAAGCCAAATGATCTCCGCTCTATTGCAGTTAACTATTTCCCTGTGACTCAATGAGGTCTACAGCAGCTATCCCTGAAGGGCAGCCTTCACACACTGCACGAACGGAAACCATAGAGCACTGCACGAATGGAAACCATCTTCCTTTATGCTGAAGCCACAGGGTGGATTGTTATGTATCATGAGCAGAAGTGCATCAACATTAGCCTGAATAAAAAAAAAAAAACTATTTGCTAGAAATAAGTTTTTCTTCTCCTTCTCTACAATAAGATGCAATCATGAAGGAATCTCAACTGAACTTGAACTGTGGTTATGCAGCAAGGTGGAGGAATCCACTATGGGGGGAGGGGTATGGGAGGGGTGGGGGAAATCCCCAGTGCCTATAAAACTGTATCACATAATACAATGTTAATAACAATTAAAAAAAGGGAAAAAAAAGATGCAATCACACATTATGCTGGACATTTTCCTGGCGAGGTCACACAACCAATTCAACATTTGACAGAGCACATGTTACCAAAAGGCTTAGAAAAAGAGTGAAAGCCTGGGGGCTGATGCCATGGTCTAGTAGGCTAATCCTCCACCTGCAGCACCAGCATCCAATGTGGGTGCCAGTTCTAGTCTCAGCTGTTCCACTTCCAATCCAGCTCCCTGCTCATACTCTGGGAAAGCAGTGGAGAATGGCCTAAGTACTTCGTTCCCTGCACCCATGTCAGGGTCCCAGAAGAACCACCAGGCTCCTGGCTTCCAATTGGCCCAACTCTGGCCACTGCAGCCATTTGGGAAACGAACCAGCTGATGGAAGTCTTCTCTCCTTGTTTCTCACTCTCTAAGTAACTCTGCCTTTCAAATCAAAATATTTTTTATTTTTTTTTAAAGATTTATTTTTATTATTTTTTTTTTATTGGAAAGGCGGATATACAGAGAGGAGAGACAGAGAGGAAGATCTTCAGTCCGATGATTCACTCCCCAAGTGAGCGCAACGGCCGATACTATGCCAATCTGAAGCCAGGAGCCTCCTCCGGGTCTCCCACGCAGGTGCAGGTTCCCAAAGCTTTGGGCCGTCCTTGACTGCTTTCCCAGGCCACAGGCAGGGAGCTGGAAGGGAAGCGGGGCTGCCGGGATTAGAACCGGTGCCCATATGGGATCCTGGGCATGCAAGGCGAGGACCTTTAACCACTTGCGCCACCGCAAAATATTTTTTAAAAATGAGTGAAAGCCTCAATGATATCCTCGCTGTATATACTAATTGTAGAAAGGAAGGAGGGCGTGTTAAAAATTAAAAAGCTGAGGAAAATGGAATGAACCTAGATAAGCACATTTTCCATTAACGTTTTAAAACTCCCTCTAGGTTCACACACGAAAACAAACACCCATACATTCACAGTAGCCCAGAGAATATACAGCATGACTGAAGACCAGGAGTGTAAGAGCTGCACCCCGGAAGAGCATGCCACACTTAGCATGGAACCTGCCACAGTAGAGGCAGGAGCCTGTGAGAACCTCAGCTAGCACTGGGGGAGTCGGGAAAGCCAGAAGCAGCATTGACACAGTTCCTGCTTCTTTTCCTGCATGGCCAATTTCAGCCAGACTCAAATTCTCTCACTATCACTATCCCCATTTCACCTATTAAGGAAATGGTACTTGAAGCACTAAGAAGCTGATAGGTAATAATTTAAGAGTGCAGTACTTCCTAATTCTTAGCACTGTATCACAAACTGGGAAGGCCTGAAAAAGTAGAAAACATTAGTAGATGCATACCACTTGGAGAAGTGGAGCTAAAAAGCAGAAGAGATAAACAACAAAGTTAACTGTTAGTGGAGTAAGAAGGCTTGAGCAAGGGATCCTATCTTTCATGTGAATCTTTTAGTAAAATTTGTACTTTGAAACTGTATACCTGTATGACCTTGACATAAAGCCTAACTGAAAAGCTAAGGAAGAGACTATCTATTGACCAAATAACATGTAAAGTTTGATCTATAGAAATACAAGTGCACACACTCACACTAAAGCTTCCAAATGTTATTTCTGACAGTTAAAAGAGCCTTGTTGATTTCTTTCACAAATTTGTACTGCTACTTTAATAAGATGTTTAATTGTTCACAAAATATTTTGGTAAAGTATTTACTTACCTTAACTGACTTTTCTATAGTTAAGCCTCCATCTAGCTCAAAACGAATTGTCATGTTGTACCTGGTCTGGTTTCCGTGTCCGTGGGGCCACCAAGTTCCTACAGCAACATGCTTTCAAGAAACAGGATCAGTCAACCTAAGTGACAGGGCATGTCTTCAACAAAATATGATTTGAGGCATGCATATTAATTTTACAGTCAAGAACAAAAATTATAGGTTCTAAAACAATATAAATCTCCCTGCCTAGAATATGTCATATCATACCAAACCATAAAAATACTGTTAAACTAGCAATGCTATGAATTTAGCATGAATTAATACGTCTAAAATAATTACTTTTTGCCTCTAACACTCAATCTTGCACATATTGTATATTTGTAACACTTAGCATTGGACTTTGAAATGGCATCTTTTCTAAGAACTATAAAGCATTTTGAGTTCTTTCTTTATTGGACAGTTACCAAGTGTTATTTGGTTCCATTCTTCCAGTTCACAATTATCAATGAAAGAAACAAAAATGGGAAAAGGGAAAGTCTATCCTACCTCTACTTATGGAAGATGAGCCTAGAATTAGAACTTCAAATAAATATCAACATTCAAAATTATTCACAAATACCAAAAATCAAATGCATTGCCTATAATGTATTTTGGATTCAAAATATTTAAAATACAACAGAAAAAGATAAAATATATCTGATCTCTTGACAAAACATTTGATTAATAACATATTCTTTATTTTCTTAATTTTAAAATTTGGAAAAATCATTCCTCAGCTCTTATCGTGTAAAATACATGAGGTGTTAAAAACAGAAGCTACTGTGATAGAGACAGGCATTGTGGTACAGTGGTTCAGCAGCCACTTAGGACACTTACAGCCCACATCAAGAGAGTCAGGTTCAAACCTTTCACCTACTTCTGATCCAGCTTCCTGTTAATGGTTCAAGTGCTTGGAACCATGTTAGGCGGGAGATCCATATGCAGTTCTGGGATCCTAGCTTTGGCATGGCTCAGCCCTGGCTGTTGTAGCCTCTTGGGAAGTGATCAGGCAGATGAAAGATTCTCTATCTATACCCTTCCCACTCTCTCTCCATCCAGCGCTTATCGACAAGTCCATCATACCTTGCTAATCTTCACAAGCAACTCAACCATCCTTTCCCCAGGCTGAAGGCTAATATTGTGAATCTGCTGGGCTTGCAATTTAGGGATGGTTACGATCACTTGACCACTGACTGGCTTTGAGCTGACAACATCAAAAGAAGACTGTATCTCAAGATTCCACTGCCGGGCACTGTTGTCTGAAGCATAAAGAGAAAAGAAAAATTAAAATTTATATATGTAGGAATTATTCCTGCATTCCCACAATCCATTATACATATATATACACATATATATTTCTGCAGATATCTCTACTCTAAAACTAAGACATAAAAGTATTTATAAATGAGGAACAAACAGAAAATGACCTATGAAAAGCACAATAAAATATTTTCCAAGAATGATATGCAGCAGATGGGGCTAGGTCAAGCCAATGCCCGGAACCTGGAACTCCAGCTGGTTCTCCCACAAAAGTCCAAGAGCCCAAGCCCTTGGGCATCTCCCACTGCTTTCCCAGGCATATGAGCAGGGAACTGGGTCAGAAGTGGAGCAGCTGGGACTAGTGTTCTCGACTTGCCATGTGAGTCTCATTGAGGCATCACTCAACACAGTAACACTGCAAGCACACTGGAACTTGAATATGAATGATGAGGAAAAAACAACAACATAGGTGGTTTTTTTGCCTATCAGAGTCCCAAAACCGAATATCAAATTCATTCAATATGAAGCCAAGCATCTGGGGATAGGGAACAATAAAATATTAGCCTCTCAATAAGAACAATCTTGAAAGTAAAAGGAAGAACACTTCAACCCATCCAGAGAATGTACCTGACCCTGCACTCAGTGGGATTATATGGTGACAAAGCTCCTCCATCTGTCTCAATGTCACATTGGTAATCCAAACTACCTGATGAAGGGCAGGCCAAGATTCTTTTAACTCTGAGAATGAACTTAGCCAAATACAGCCTCAGGTCACTGTTAATACAGGATGCAACGGTGGTCATTTGACACACTGGCCTCCAAAGTAAGTGTTTTGGTTCATTCTCCAGATCCTCTTTTCCAGTCTCGGCTTCCTACATGCGTGATCCCACAAAGCAGCACAGCAGTGATGTCACAGTATTGGGTACCTGCCACCCACGGAGAAACCCAGATTGAATTTCAGGCTCCTAGTCTCCATTGACCATTTGCTGGCATTTGGGGAAGGAAGATCAGTCTCCAGTTTTCAAATTAAGTGAAATACAATTTAAATGTTTATTTTATGTATTTGAAATAGTTACAAAAAGAGAGAGATCTTCCATATGGCAGCTTACTCCCCAAGTGACCACAAGGGCCAGGCTGGGCCAGACCAAAGCCAGGAGCTTCTTCTGGGTCTCCTACATGGGTTTAGGGACATAACCACATAACTTCCTCTACTTTCCCAGGGAAATTAACAAGGAGCTGGATTAGAAGAGGAGAAACTGAGGTTCCAACTAGCACCCATATGACCACACAACACTGGTTCCAAGTCAAAAAAATTAAAAATACAAGATCCCATGGGAAGGGAGAGGGACAACATTGAAGAGCTTTCCCTAGCCCTGCTCACATCTTTCTGCATCTTGAACAGGAAACAAAAAGCTGCAGGGAAAAGTAGCTCTGTGTATTGAAAGACACAGGAGTGATCTGAACTCACCAGGCCGCAGAATGTGTCAATTTAAATGTAAGATCATTTTCTGAATTCCTGGGATAATAAGGCAAATCTAAACAGCTAACAGTTGCATTGGCCAGAAAAGTAGATTCACACTTCAGTTATGACAGCTGTTGTTCACCCTGCTTCACCCAACAACGAGATTCCCTTGCCTACCTAAGAGGCAAAAGCCTCGAACGTGAAGCCAAGGCAAAACAGACACAAAACAAGACCAGGGTCCAGAGAAGAAAATACAGCCAACCAACAAGGCAGCTAACCAGAGAGAAGGCTCTTCAAGCAACTCAATGACCCAGAAAGCTATTTTCAGAGTCGATGCTGTTATTTCAGAGGTAATGCAATTCTAAAATGAGTTTAAAAGTGACTCAAAAGAATTCATGCAAAAAAGGTACACTCATAATACAGTAGTAATAGCAATCCATAATCTTGGCTGTATGTTAACACTGCATGATCTCCATGACACTGTAAGCAAAGCAGAGCAGTGTCCCTCAACGCGGGCCTCCACTGGGCAGGCAGCAGCCCAACCGAGAAGCTGATCATCTGGAATCAGGAGGATGCTGCAGGCTGAGGGATCGCGGTGAGGGTGGAAGCACCTGTGGCAGCTAAGGGTCTAAAGAGATTTTTGCCCAAGACTAAGATCTACAGCCCACTTTACCTTAGAGGGAAGAAAAAGCAAGGAAATTGATACGTGGAAAAATGCCTCTGTTATTGTTTAGAGTAACAAAAGATTGGACCTGTAGCATTACAGGTGCTGGTTTGGGATAGCAGCAGGTTAAACCACCACTTGTAACACTGCATCTCATATGGGTTCATGTCCTGGCTACTCTGCTTCAGACACATCTTCTTACTAATATACCTGGGAAAACAACATACGATGGCTGAAGTCTTTTTTCCTTGCCACTGACAGGGGAGATCCAGATGGAGTCCCTGGTTTCTGGCTTTGGCCTAGTTCAACTTAAGCTATTCTGGCCATTAAAGAAATGAACCAGCACAGATGATCTTTCTCCTTCCCTTCCCCCTCCTCCTCCTCTTTATCTCCTCTCTCTGACACTTTGCCCTTCAGATAAAATATTTTGGGCCTGGTGTGGTAGCCTAGCAGCTAAAGTCCTTGCCTTGAACATGCCAGGATCCCATTTAGGCAGTGGTTCTAATCCCAGCAGCTCTGCTTCCCATCCAGCTCCCTGCTTGTGGCCTGGGAAGGTGGTTGAGCACAGCCTAGAGCCTTGGGACCCTGCACTTGTATGGGAGACCTGGAGGAAGCTCCTGGCTCCGGATTGGCACAGCACCAGCCGTTGCTGTCACTTGGGGAGTGAATCATCGGATGGAAGATTTCCTCTCTGTCCCTCCTCTCTGTATATCTGACTTTGTAATAATGTTTCTTTAATGTTTCAACAGATCATAGTAACTGCACATTTTAAAAGTTTTTCATCTTAATGTTGTTTACATAGTCCAAAGGGATGCACGCCCATGTGGGCATCTGCTTAGGCTGGGGAGGTTTTGGTACGGAGGAAGGTGAGTGAGACAAATGTCTCAGTTTGAGTGCCTGCCGCCTACTTGGAAGATGCAGACTGAGTTCACAGCTTCCTGCTAGCTCTAGTCAAGGCAACTGGGAGACTTAGGCAGTGAACCAGCAGATGGCAGCTCTCTCTGTATCTCTCCCTCTCTGTCTATCAAAAATTTTTTTTTTAATTAGGCAATTGAGCCCGGCATGATAGTGTAGTGGTTAAAGTCCTCGCCTTGAACATGCCAGGATCCTATATGGGCGCCGGTCCTAATCCTGGCAGCCCCACTTCCCATCCAGCTCCCTGCTTGTGGCCTGGGAAAGCAGCAGAGGACGGCCCAGCCTCGGACCCCGCACCTGTGTGGAGGACCCAGAAGAGTTCCTGGCTGCTGGCTTTAGATTGGCTCAGCACCAGCCATTGCGGTCACTTGGGGAGTGAATCATCGTACGGAATTATTTCTATCTCTCCTCCTCTCTCTATATATATATATGACTTTGCAATAAAAATAAATAAATCTTAAAAAAGGAAAATTAGGCAATCATCTTAATGATTGAATGGGCTATTTTTTTTTTAATTTCAGCAATTTTGTCTATCTCACGATACATAGATGGTAAAAGTACCCAGACTATACATTACCGTAGTCTGTTATTTCTCAACTACTAATTATGCACTGGTTTCAGTGTAACTGCTGACTTCCTAACTTCCTGATCAAAGTAGAAAAAGAAAAGATTCTCAAAAAAATTCCTGAAGGCAAATCCTCTCCTAATGCTTTCAGAAGTTCATGTCTCAGCATTCTTTATTACAACACATCATCAAGTGGACAGCCAGAGAATTAATCAGAAAAATTAAGAACTGTTTAACATGCGCAACATACAACCTCTGAACAGGAATGTTAAGTACAATGTTAAGGACAAACTATATTGCAGTCATAAAACTCAAAACTGTAGTTGCCATGAGAAATTGATTACACCAGATCTAAGCTGAATTTTATGTATCATTTAAATGGTTTGGTTCACATAAAAATCACAGTCACTAGTGACTAGTACACTAAACTCCACCTAATGACTCACATTCCCATTCAAAAATTTAAATTAAACCTCAGCAGCATTATTCGAATATTTCTCAGGTAATAAAATTGTTGGAACTTACAGTACATTTTTGTAAGTCACTTAAAATATTGATTAAACTTCAAACCTTTTAAGGAAATAACTTTCTGCTAAATCAAGCCCTCCCCCGACCCAGATCTAATTGCACACATCTGAGATGTATGGATGGTGATAAAGGGATGAGAGAATAAACATTAGTTGATTTTAGTGAGACAAATCCTCAGTTTGGGTTACACCTTGAAAGAAGGTGTTTCAGAGGCTATAAACTGAGCCACATTCACATGTGGGACCCAAACAAGCCCTTTTCATGCCTCCGACACATTGAAAAATACAGGCAGCAATTTAGAACGAATCACCTCATTTGCTTTGTCTTCTGCCTTTAGAAAATACAAACTGGTGGGTCACCACTGGAGCACAGTGGGTTGTCACCATCCACAGCACTGGCATTACCCATCAGAGACCCACCTCAAGTGCTACTTCCCCATTAAAGTGCCTGGAAAGGCAGTGGGACAGGGTCTAAGACCTTGGAACCCTGCCACCCAATCACACCACATGGGGTTCCTGGCTCCTGGCTTCAGCATAGTCACTGTGGTGTTTTGGAGAGATGGAAGATGAATTAATCAATCTCTCCCCAAACCCCATGTGTGTGCAACTGTCTTTCAAATAAATAAGGAAGGAAAGGAAATTCAGATTTGGCTCAGCTGAATAGCAGTGCAGGGTCTCCAGCACCTGGGGCTGACGCACAGGCTTTCTCGGGGCTTTTCCTCGGTAGATGTCCCCATGCCTGGACTGAGCACTGCACATGGTCCCTGAAGAGCCCACCTGCCTCTCCCCTCACCTGAGATGGCCCCAGATGACCTCTGAACCCTCACTGCTCTGTGACTTTCTGAATTACTGAGACTCAGCATTACCCTGGCTTTTGCAATTGTTTCCATCCCCTCCCCACTCTAAGCAGCGTGCAGCACATTACAGGATAAGCATACACACTATTTCATGGTCTGATTTTCAAGCACAGTGCTGGGCAAAGAACTCCACAAGGATTCAACCAGATTTGAACTGATTCAAATCTATGAGATTTCTAGGTGTTTCTGTCAATGTTCTTTCACAGTGAATAATTCTTTCAGCTGAAAAGGTGGTTCAATTCACTTGACACAAATTGTGTTTGCCTTGTAGCTTACATCCTTATTTTTTATTAAAAGGTAGAGACAGACAGACATATAGACATCTTTGACACACTGATTCACTCCCAAACATTACAACAGCCATTGTTGGGCCAGGCCAAAGATAGGAACCCAGAAATCCACTGGGGTTTTCCACGCAGGTAGCAAGCGACCCAAGCATTTGAGTTATCATCTGCTGCTTCACAGAGCACTCATTATAAGGAAGCTGGATACAAACCCAGGCACAAGTGTCAGCTTCACCACTGTGCCAAATGCCTAGCTACAGGGGCCAGAACAGTAGCATAACGGGCTATTCCTCTGCCTCTGACACTGGCATCCATAGTTCATGTTCTGGCTGCTCCACTTTCAATCCAGTTCCCTGCTGATGGCCTGGGAGGGCAGCAGAAGGTGGGCCAAGTCCTTGGGCCTCTGCAATTACATGGGAAACCTGCAATTACATGGGAGCTTCTTGCAGAAGCTCCAGGCTTCCAACTTCAGATCAGCTCAGCTCCAGCCATTGTAGCCATTGGGGAGTGGATAGAAGAGTCCTCTGCTTCTCTCTACAAATCTTCCCTCCCCCCAAAAATTAATAAACCTTTTTTAAAAAGTGTTCAAAACTGTGGTGAGCAGGTACAATGACAGAAACATAGTTGTTCCTTTCCACAAGCCAGCAGTTCTACATGGAAAGTGACTACAGAAGTGGCAAGAAGCAATCAGAGCCTGGAGACCAGATGCTGTAAAGGGAACAGCTCAACAGGCCTGGAAGTTTTTATCTTTTTCCCTTTTTTATAAGATATGCTAAACAATATCGACCCACCTGTCTGCCTTTAAAATGTCAATGTCCACAACAAATCATAATTGGTATTTATTTTTCACTTTTATAAATCAAATGGGCCAAACATAAAAAAATTCCAATTCCCTACATCTCTGAAATATGTATCTATATATTCAAATTATAAAACCCAGCCTTTAGGAGGAGGAAGAATCTCAAAAGGGAAACAAGAAGTCACATGTGTTGCTTACCGTATACTGGGGAAAATGTAACGTAGCGCAGATGACAAACATCATAGGCTTCCACTCTAACATCCCTCCAGATGCCCTGGGTGGGAAAGGCAGGCCCCCAGTCCCAGCTGAAAGAACACTGCTCCTGGAGGTTCAAACAGCGGGGGAAAGAAGATACACCGATGATCGCGAAACAAACTCAAGAGCAATCCTTTTCCTTCCAAATATTACATAGGAATATGGATGCATTTCCTTTGAAGTGCATTAACACAGTAACACCGAGCAGGTAGCTTAAACAGCAGAAATGCACCATATCCAGAGCCCAGAAGTCCAGGATCGAGGTGTCGGCAGCTGTGTTTCTCCTGAGGCTCTCTTCTCGTCTTCAAGTGGCTACCTTCTCCCTCTGACCCTACATGGCCTCTCTCCGTGTCCAAGCACTTCTGGCATCTCTGATCTATCTTACAAAGACAGCAGTCGCTCTGGGTTAGAATCATCCTAACCTCCTCGTTTTCATTTGATCACCTCCTTAAAGACTTTGTCTCCAAAGAGGACGGTGTGCCAAGAACCAAAGTCAGGACATGAGGGGTGGGCACAATTCTACCCATAATGTCAGGCTTGTGTGTATGGAACCATGTAGCATCCCCGCCCCCCATACCACGATACCACGGACACTCGTGACACAGCCCAGCATGATCGTCTTCCAGGACTCCTGCCCCTGAGTAACCCCTTCTCCGACAGAGCCTGGCCTAGTGGATCATTTCTAGCCAGAAGAAATGACATCACTTCTGAAATCAGGTTTTCAAGACTGAGCCCTTTTTCTGGGGTACTTCGTTTTGGACAAGGAAGAAGCTGGTTGCTGTGTCGTGGGGCAGTACTCTAGCGAGTGAATCTGGAAGCTGACCTTAGGCCAGCAGCAACCACATGAGAGATTAGAAACATTCCAGACACAGGAAGGCTTGAGTTGATTGCAGTGCTGCCTGCTAGCCCCACAGGAACCTCATGAGAGACCTTGAGCCAGTGGCACTGAGCGAAGCCCCACTCAGGTCCCTGCACGACCAAAACAGTAAAAAATGTTGTTTTAGATTCATAGATTTGAGCATAGTTTGTTAATGAACCCAAACAAATGATACAATTCTAATACAATAACCAATGTGTCAATCCATTCAACATAGTCAAATCTAAAATGTTTCAGGAATTGCTTGTAACTGCAAGTAAGCAACTCTTCCACTGGAGACAGGGAGAAAGGTAGCAAAATATTCAATATCCTATGAGGTGAATCATTTTCTTCATCAAAAATGTCAAAACACTTTTATTTACTCAACTACTCCAACCACATCTAATTAGGAAGATCTGTATCCTCAAAATTCAAACATGTATTATACTAAAGTAACAAACTATTCTTTAAATGGCTCTAGATCTAACCACTGTATCCAAATGTAACAAGTATAAAGACTACTGCAGTTGAACACAGTTACTATCCATAATGAGGAGCCACACTGAGGCGTAAATATTTTATGATCAAATTTTTTAAAATTCTAGCTGGACTTGGTGAAACTTGCTTCTTTGAGAATGGATTCAGGAGCCAAAGTTTCTGAATACAGAGCCCAAAACAATTGGCTCAGCCTTCGGATACTAACGCAGGTGCCAAAACCTACCTTCTGGGTTATTTTCCCCGACTACCTGCATCTGCTTCAATACCCTCAGTTTTCACATTACAAAGGTTCAGATTCAAAACAAGGAAATTGTTCTCTCAAAAAGTCTTCTAAACAGATTTTTTTTTGTACTTCTAAAGGAAAAATTATCTTCAAAATGCAGATTATTAAAACATGGGAGGCCATGAGTTCAGTTTTTTTTTTTTTAATAAACAAGCATCAGACAAAGTGCCAAAATCCTTCTAAAAGGAGGCATTTGATAAATGAACATGCCAGGATCCCATATAGGCGTCAGTTCTAGTCCCGGCAGCCTTGCTTCCCATCCAGCTCCCTGCTTGAGGCCTGGGAAAGCAGCAGAGGACGGCCCAAAGCCTTGGGACCCTGCACCCACTTGGGAGACTTGGAAGAGTTCCTGGCTCCTGGCTTCAGATTGGCGCAGCATCAGTTATTGCGCTCACTTTGGGAGTGAATCAGACGGAAGATCTTCCTATCTATCTGTCCTCCTCTCTGTATATCAGACTTTGTAATAAAAATAAATAAATCTTAAAAAAAAAATGTTAACTTCTGTTTCAGGGTGGGAGTACATCAATGTACAAGACAGAATAGCTTTCTTGCTTAAAATACAATAGACCAAAAAATTAAGGCCTTGAGTAAATATTGTCAAGTAGAATGAGTTTTGCAGAGTAAATAGAGAACACACAACTAAAGGCATGGGGTAGGGTGTCAACAAGTTTCCCTGGAGAAAAAAAAAAAATCTTTCATTTGGAACCTGAGAGGTGAGCAACCCACTATGGTTAGGGGAGAGGGAGGTTCCTTACTTTCAGAAGGCTCACCATGTGAAAAGATTTGCAGGAGGGCGAGAGACAATGAGACACATCACCCCAAGACATGGAAAACATTGAAGAAAAAAGAGGTGGGAACAAGATTGGTGATGTGGGCATGAGCCAGCACAGAGCAGCAGTTGTAGCCTTTGGTCTCAAAACAATGAAAGGCTGTTGAATGGTGTTTTAAAAAAAAATTTTTTTTTAATTTTTATTTGAAAGTCAGATATACAGAGAGGAGCAGAGATGGAAAGATTTCATCCGCTGATTCATTCCCCAAGTGACCATAATGGAAGGAGCTTCCTCCAGGTCTCCCAGGTGGGTGCAGCATCCCAAGGCTTTTGGGCTGTCGCTGACTGCTTTCCCAGGCCACAAGCAAGGAGCTGAATGGGAAGTGGAGCGCTGGGATTAGAACCAGGGCCCATATGGGATCCCAGCACATGCAAGGTGAGACTTTTAGCTACTAGCTACCACACTGGGCCCTATTGAATGATATTAAGCAGAGTGTTGTGATAATTTTAAGCTGAACAGATTATGCTGTATCCACGATTCTCTAAAGGAAGGCAAGGAGGTTGTAGAGATACTACGTAGTGACCAGGGCAGAACTGATACAAGCAGTCCTGATAGAGACAAGATACAACAGCAGAAATGGAGTGTAAATGGATTCAAGAGACAAAAGAGGTTAAATTCATACCATCAAAAGGACTAAGTACAGTACCAAAATCTCTAAGGTTTCTGGTTTGAGCAATTGTTAATAGTAGATAGAACTTGATGCAGGACAGGAAACTATGAGAAGGGTCTCCATTACAAGTGCGGCACTGGACACACTGACTTTAAGTTCCAGTATATCAAGAATGTAATAATGCCAAATGGGATTTGAGTATAAGGTCTAGAATGAATAGACAATTGAGTATTAAGTCTAAAATAAACAGCAGTTGAGCCCAAGACACAAATTTCAAGAGTCATCAATCTGTAATTGACGAAATGGAAGTTGGATGAAATAGCCTAGGGAGAGAGACAAAAGAGAAAAAATGTCTAGAACAGAGAGATCGAATGCTTATAAGAGGAGGAAGATGCAGATAGAGATTTAAAAGGAACTACCAGTGAGATGAGTAGAAAACACTGGTGTTAGCAATGGTAGGAGGGTAGCTGAAGCAATGGATTCTACCACCTAAGGACAAGAGGGAACTTTTATGGACATGGAAAACAGGAGGGGTCAAAGAATAGGTGAAGGACCACCTCGCTTATGTCACATAAGCTAAATCGGGACATTTGGAGAGAATCAAGATGGCAAAGTAGGGTAAGGACACATTTATATAGTCAGAGAATCATTAGGGTGAAGAGAGGACACATTCCAGGAAATAAAAGAGGACAGGCAGATAGCAGAGAGACACCTGGTGACTGACAGACATGGAAAGCAGCAGAGACAACAGTGTGGTATGGCAGTGACCAGATATCCCAGTCAGCGAGCAGTCATCTGAGCTCCACCAGTGGCTGGAGCTCCACTAGCAGCCAGGTGGGAAGGAGAGTACACCAGGAGCTCAGGGAGTGAACCCAGCTAAAGAACTGCCCTTTCTGATGATTTGTTTGATTTGACCAGGAGCAGAGACAGAATGGCAGGTCCCATATGGGCACCAGTTCATATCCTGACAGGCCCACTGGATCTTGGGGTATGCAAGGCAAGGACTTAGCCACTAGACTACCATGCCAGGCCCAACCACCTACTTATTTAGGACACCTGATGTCTCCCTAATCATGGGAACTGCTCAAACAAGAAGTGGGAGAAAGGTTGCACGGACAACGGTACAGCCACAGCACAGGATCACAGCAGGTGGAGCGTGGTAAGCCAGGAGCTGAGGCTACAGCGACCATAGTAGAAACCTAACACAAGAATCCAGACCTGAAACTTGCTGAAGGGAATGGCACAAGTGATTAAAAAAAAAAAAAAGAGCCAGGTACCAAACACAATCAGTAAAATCAAACTATAGACCTGTGGGTGACACAGTTTAGAAACCTACCCTAAGGAGAAGAATCTGCTAACCAGAAGTACAATGACCAAGAGCAAGGGAAGAGAGAGAGGCACAGTGAATATCACTGAAGATTCCCCTGCAAAGGAGCAAATTTCTTAAAACACTTGTTACAGAGCTTCAGAGCTTATCAATGAGAAGCATATACAGTAACTCAGGATTAAGTCACACAGAAACTAGTAACAAACAAAACCAAGCAGAATTATTGGAAATGAAGGACATGATGGAGCAAATTAAAAACTCAGTGGAAAGTCTCTATAATAGAATGAATGAGGCAGGAGAAATCTCAGAATTGGAAGGTATTTCTTGTCCCCATGGGGAAACAATGAAAAAGCTGGAAGAGGAACTGAGTCAAAGTAAGAAAAGTATACAAGAATTAAGGGATCCCATTAAAACACCAAATATAAGAGTTCTGGGAGTTCCAGAAGGTGCAGAAAGAGATGCTGGATTTTAAAATGTATTCAAAGAAATAATAAAGGAAAACTTCCCTAATATGGAGGAAGAATTGGGAAACAATACAGGAGGGGCACAGAACTCCCAATAGAATTGACAAAAAGTGATATTCACAACGGCACGTGACAATCAAGCTCTCTTCAGTTGAACATAAGCAAAAGATCCTTAAATGTGCACATGGAAAAAAAAATCGACTGACATATAGAGGAATGCCAATCAGTCTCACAGGAAACCATTCAGGCCAGAAGAGAATGAAGTGACATATTCCAGATTCTGAAAGGAAGAAATTGTCAGCCCAGAATTAAATACCCAGAAAAGCATTCCTTTGTCTTTGAAAAATGAAATAAAATTCTTCCGCAGTAAAGAAAAGCTCAAAGAATATGCCTCTTCCAGATCTGCCCTACAAATGATACAGATGTTCTAATGACAGAGAAAAGGAATAGCACCCACCAAAACCTAAGGCAAATGTGAAGAACATGCTAGTAGAATAACAACAGAAAACTAAACCAAACAATGAACAAACCATTGCTAAAATGACAGGACCAAATTGCTACTCATTGAAATTAACCCTGCACGTAAATGGCTTACCCTCACCACACAAGCATCAAAGATTAACAGAGAGGATTACAAAACAACTCTGTTGCTTACAGCAGACACATCTCACCAACACTTACTAATGGAAACTATGTCTCATGGATTTTGATGTTTTTACTTTTTTCCATTTCTTCAAAACAGTTTATTTTCTCATATTAAATTATTCAATGACTCATAGATCATACAGTCCCATCATTTTCTTCAAGAAGGTTCTTGATTTTCTTTTCATTTCTTCAGCAACACATTAGTCATTCAGTAGCATATTATTTAACTTCATGGCATTGAAAATTCCTATTTTTCTTCCTGCTGTTAATTTTGTTTTGTGGCTTTTCATTTAACAAGATGCATAGTAACTGTGTAATGAGGATACAATTCAGTATGCATCTCTACTTACAGATCAAAGATGGAATCCCAATGAAGCTGTTAAATCTATCTTGACAATAGGATGCAGGACTCTGCCTTTGTCCATGCCCGCAATGATGGACTTGTGACTGTTTGAGGAACTATACTATTGCAATAATATAGGGGAAACTGGGGAATGGGGAGGGTACTGGGGGAGTAAGGGAAATCCCAGAGCCTGTGGAACTAAATCATAAAATAATAAGTATAAAATGGAAAAAAAATACTGGGACAGTTCACTACAAACTTAGAAATTTGTACTATAGTACTAAATCTCTTAAATAGCCTCGCCATTTCCCTTTTTTACGGCTGTGTAGCACTGCACAGTATACAAAGTATATCCATATTATTATTTCTGTACCTTTATATCAACACTAACAAGGAAGGAAGGACAGATTAGCGCCATAATTAATGATGAACATGTCTGCTCACTCCATATTCACAAAGCCAGGATTCAGACCCAAGGCGCCTGACATGGTCTCCAACACAGTCTCTTTCAACTGGACCTTGTCAGTCTGTTCAGAAACACAAAGACACAATCTGCCAGTTGTTCTGGAAGTCTGTCCCAAGATTAATGCCCATATATTGTTTTTTTTTTTTTTATTGTTGCTTACACTGTATTATGTAGTACAGTTTTATAGGCGCTGGGGATTCCCCCCACCCCTCCCCATATCCCTCCCCCCATGGTGGATTCCTCCACCTTGCTAATGCCCATATATTGTGTTAGCAGAAACCTGGGTCCAGCCTCTGAGTTCAGTGACAAAACACTATGTTATATCTAGACAACTTGAGAAGATGTTCTGAATGCCGCGTTAAATATAAGGTAAAAATAAAATACCACCTGAATGTGTGTGTGTATATATGCACACACATACACACACACAACATGTGTTACCTTTACTGACAATCTGAAAAGTAACACTTCATGCTAGAATGCAGGACAGTTCCAGTTCTGATAAAAGTTAAAAATGGAAAGAGGGCCTAATGCGATGGCTCAACTAGCTAATCCTCCACCTGTAAGCTCATGGATCCCATCCCAGCTCTGCTTCCCATCCAGCTCCCTACTTGTGGCCTGGGAGAGCAGTGCAGAACGGTCCAAAGCCTTGGGACCCTGAGCCCACATGGGAGACCCAGAAGTTGTTCCTGGCTCCTGGCTTTAGATCAGCTCCGTTCCAGTCATTGCCACCTTTCTCTGTAAATCTGCCTTTCCAATAAAAATAAATTTTTGAAAAAAAAAAGAGGGATAGAGAGAAGCAAAATAGCACAACCTCTAGAATTCAAACCACTGCATCATTTGAAGCCAAAGGCAGTAAGTGAAAAAAATGAGTCTTAAATAGAACGTAAGTTACATGAATATTTCAAGAAACACTTGAGTGCTGAGTAATGCCAAAACAATACACTAAGACCATTCATTTATGGTATTCTGAACAAATGATTGGCAATTTGATACAGATTGAATCAAACATAACAAGGTACAATTTTTACCTTAGTCCTTATATTTAGTACATAATTTAATAAGTCCATCCAAAACTTAATGAGACCATCAGAATTTAACAGCTAACACATCAGTTTTACCTAAAGAGTACTAAAAAAAAAATGCTTAATATTTTTACCATGAACTTGGTGATTACATCTGTTGTTAAAAATAAAATGTCAGTGTTATGGCAAACAAGGTTAGGCTGCAACTTGCAAAACCAGCCTCCCAATTACAGTACCAATTATACTGGCTGTTACACTTCTAACTCAACTTCTGCTAATGAACTTAAGATAACAGATTACGGCCAGAAGTACCTGGCCTCTGCTACCACGTGGGAGACCTAAATAGATTTTCTGGCTCCTGACTGGCCTGGCCCAGCTCTGGCTGCTGCAGCCACTTAGGGAGTGAAACAGAGGATCAACAATCTCCACCTCTCTCTGACACTCTGCCTTTCAAGCAAATAAATCAATATATCTTGGGAAAAATTAAGAATAGAATGGACAGTTAATACAGTTGTTAGTAGGGTCTTACGGATATTTTTACACTCGTGTTCATAGCAGTATTCTCTACAATAGGCAAAAGGGGGATACAAACCAAATGTTTAGGAATGAATGACAGGATAAACAGGATGTGACATGTATACACAATAAAATGTCACTTAGACATTAAAAGAAGTTCTGACACTGCTACAATATGGATGTATCTTGAGGACATCATGCTATGTGAAACAAGCCAGTCACAAAAAGATAAATGCTGTCTGGTTTAGTTACATGAAATGACTAGCATAGGTGAACTCACAAAAAAAAAAAGGAGGATGGTGTGTGCAACTGGAGTAAGGGGTACTGGGGAGCTATTTTTTAATGAGTATAATTTGAATTTTGCAAGATGGGAAATTCTAGAGATTGATTGCACAGTAATATACTTAACATTATTAATTTACACACTATAAAATGGCTAAGGTGGTAAATTTTCTGTTACCTATACTTAAAATTATTTAATCAAAAATATTTTCAATTGAAAGGTCACATTACTGATAATCCAAGTATGTATTAGAATAAATTGAAGTTCTCTAGACTGAAAGCAGATTTAAGAAAAATAACCACATCTGTGGATTTTATCTTTTTGCTTAGTTTTATAAGAACCTAGCAATAGGAGCTGGAGCTATGGGGTAGTGCACTTAGCCACCACCTGCAACTCTAGTTTCCTATACGGGCACCGAGTCCCACTGGCTCCACTTCAGATCCAGCTCTTAGTTAATGTACCTCGAAAAGCAGTGGAGGGGGTCCCCAGCACTATGGCCTACTGGTTAAACCCTTGTCTTCCACATGCTAGGATCCCATACAGGGCACTAGTTCGTGTCCCCACTGCTCCACTTCCCATCTAACTCCCTGCTTGTGACCTGGGAAAGCAGTGGAGGATGACCCAAAGCCTTGGGACCCTGCAGTCACATGGGGGACCAGGAAGAGGCTTCTGGCTTTAGATTGGCTCAACTCTGGCCATTGCAGCCACTTGGTAAGTGAAAAGCAGTGGAGGATGACCCAAGTGCTAGGGCCCCCTGCGCCCATGTGGGAAACGCGCATGAATATGCTGGTTATTTCCTGACTTCAGTCTGGCCAAACCCTGTCTATTGTTCGCTCTCATTGGAGACTGAATCAGCAGGTGGAAGCTCTTTTTCTGAGTCTCTCCCTGCCTCTACCAGTTAGTCTTTCAGATTTAAATAATAATAATAATAATATAGATATAGATATAAATATAATATAGATATAATATAATATAAAATAAGATATAGATATAGATATATCCCATTACCAGTCAAAAATTTCCTCTTTCTGATATTGCCTACGTTCTGAAGCATATTTCAGGGAGAATACTTAAAGCTGCTTTACAGAAACTCAGGTAGTCTGTCATACTTTTCAGGCTTCCCTCGAATGCCGACACGGCCCATCCTCAGTGCAACAGCCGCACATGTGGGAGAGCGTTACCTTTCGGATAAAGTTGACGTGACATTCGCCTTTCTGCACGGCCGGGGGACAGTTAGGTGGCACCTTGTAGTTCCGGTACGCGTTGCTCCGCTGGGCTGCATACAACACCGCAGACTGGAAACGCACTTCAAGAGAGTTCACGTCTCTGACCACGTGAGTAATATCAAACCTCTGAATTAAAGACAAAGAACCATCAGCCCCATGCTGTATGTGGAATTGGTCCAGTGTGTAAAATGCCAGCGCAAAAGCCACAAAAATGCATTATGATCTTTCAAATCTAGGGCGTAGAGGCTGTCCAAAAAAGTACAACTTAGTTGCCCATTTTCAGTTATTCCTCAGCGCAGTCTGCTATCCAAATGCCGATTTCTAGGTTTCTCCTTCTATTTTGACGGACAGAATGATGACTTTAGGGAAGTAGGGAGAGCAGAAAGTACCTCTAGCCCAACAATGTCTGGCTGCTTGCACGTGGCCTTGAACTGCCAAGGATTTCCTAGACGCTTCCTGACAACCCGACTCTCCGGTATTCCCAGCATGTATTTTTCAGTCAGGAGCTGTTTTTGCTTTGAAAAATCTACCCTTGAAAGGAAGGGATCAGGACAGGACCTCTGAATCTAATTAGTCCAGAAAGCAAAGGACATTTTTTTAAAGGATGTTTTTGTTGTTGTTGTTGTTAAGTCATTTGTCAGTTGTCATTTTCCATGCAACTGACTCAGAGACAACAACATCACCTGTCAACTGTGGATACACCACTTAATGAACATTTTACATAATGAGCTTGTTGTGGTCCCACAGTAACACAATAAACAAGCTACCACTCCAGTAATGTGGCAACTGAGAAATAAACCTAACCCAGTGCTTCAAAGAGCCTATATTTTATGCCATGCCCAATTAAGCACTTGCCTTTCTCCACTCTCAAGAACACACACAGATACTTGACAATGAGTTTTGCAGTCTTGTATCATTAATATACTTACATACTCATTGAACATGTTTTCTGTTTTCCCAATAGTGACATTATTGAAAAGAATTTTTGCAACTGTATCAACTCCATCAAAAACCAGATTTATTTTTTGCCATTTGCTAAAAAAAAAGAAAAAAAAGATTTTTTAAAATCAGATATAGAAAACACTAAATCAGCAAGTCTTCATGAGTTAAAAAGTAAAGAAATTTTACATATTTCACCAAAAACAATCCCTAAGAGGCGATTTCTGAAGTCAAGGATGTGGTGTGGTATACAAAGATGCTGCCTGGCCCCAGCATATCCCATATGGGCGCCGGTTCTAATCCCAGCAGCACTGCTTCCCATCCAGCTCCCTGCTTGTGGCCTGGGAAAGCAGTCGAGGATGGCCCAAAGCCTTGGGACCCTGCACCTGTGTGGGAGACCTGGAAGAAGTTCCTGGCTCCTGGCTTTGGATCGGCTCAGCACCAGCCGGTGCACTCACTTAGGGGGTGAATCATCAGACGGAAGATCTACCTCTCTGTCTCTTTCCTTCTCTCTGTATATCTGCCTTTCCAATAAAAATAAATAAATCTTAAAAAAAAAAAAAAAAGCTGCCGCCTGAGACACTGGCATCTGTTCAAGTCCAGACTGTTCCAGTTACAATCTAGATCCCTGCTAAAGGCCAGGGAAAGCAGAAGACAGCACAAGAGCATCAGCCCTTGCCACTCACAAGGGGGACCCAGAAGAAGCTCCTGGCTCCTGGCTTCAGCCTGGCCCAACATAGGGTGCAACAGCCTCCTGGGCAATGATTCTGTCACTATAACTCTGATTTTCAAACAAATAGTTACTGATTTAATGTTTAGATCATATATTGACATTGAAGGAATATGTTAGTTGCCATAAAATCAAGAGAACTTTTAATTTCCAAACATGTTAATATTACAAGTTAAATAATAGGCACACAGTTGTTCACAAACTGCTAGAATTACTGATGCCAAAAGAACACACTAATCAACCTAGCTTGAGTCCCCAGCTGCCGGCTCCAGCCCTGCAGTCATTTGGAGAGTGAACCAGTGCTAAAAAAATAACTGAGCTGTGTATTTTAAATGAGTGAACTGTATGCTCTGAGTTACACAGTAACAAAACTGCCACTTTTATAACCAGCAGAAATGCATGAGTGGAGGGTAGATTCTCTAACAGTCAAACCAAAGCAAGGCAATGCTAATAGCATCGGTCGTTTCTGTTGTCCAATTTGAGCTGAGACGCTAAGCAAGAATCAAGTGGCCAAGTGGGCTCTGGGGAGGGGGTGCAGGCTTCGTTCCAGGGAGAGGCAGCACTCAAAAGTATTGACACAGACAAGTGGAGACATTCAGACGTCACTTGCCAAGCCAAATAAATAAATAAATAAATAAATAGTCTGTCCTTGAGTGAACTAGACCATTACAGGAGATACTCTAAGTATTATCTGGAAATAGGGTATGAAACGCAGGAACCCCATGACCCTGAGTGCTATCCTCAGGTCTTACTCCTCCTGGAAGAGATTCATAAATAACACTGTAAAGTTTACATTACAAAAATAGGACTATTCTCATTTGGCAATATTGGTGCTAAACACATTTAGCAAAACGTACTTGGGTTACACTCTGGCTCCTATGAAAATATTTGCTTACAGGAACATTAGAACGTTACTGACCACAATACCTACACCTTTCCTCAAAGCCTCGTAACACAGTACAAGGCCAAAGTCACAATCTCAGTGGCTGGTTAGCATCAAACAACAAATGATCAATCTCTGGTCCCATGTAATAACTGCAGATAAAAGCCACTCCACTGACCTTAGGGAGTAAGCTGGAGAAAATTCACCCAGGGTAACATGGGATCGGTGTGATCCCATAACCCCTGGAAAAATGACCCCATTAAGACAGCTTTTTAACTCGTTAGTGGTGTCACCCTCATATACAAACCAGAAACTATATATTTACTGCTACAATACAAGACTGTACTGTGTCTTAATTGTCCAGTAGTCAAGCTAAAACAAAGAGGAGAACAGCCCAATGTAACATTTACACATGCTCATACCTTATCTCAAAGGGAATTTTAAATTCCTTGCTGTAGGTCCAGTTATCCAAAGAAATCCACCTGTACTCGAGGTCATTAAATCTATAGTAAGGATCCTGTTGGGACAAAAGAAAAGAAGGGTAAGTAGATAAAGATGCAAAAATAAACCAAGAAAACAAACACGAGGGTAGGCAGCAAGCATTTGGCACAGTTCAGGTGCTTGCCTAAGACGCCTGCATGCCACATCAGAATGCCTGGTTTGGGTCCCAGGCCCTCTGCTCCGGATTCCGCTTCCTGCTAGTGTATACCCCATGAGGCCGCAGTGATACTTCAGCAGTTGGTTCTCTGCCACTCACTCAAGAAACCCAGATAGAATTCTGGGTTCCTGCCTTCAGCCTGGTCCAGCCATTGCTGCTGAAGACATTTAGAGAGTGAATGGGTAGACTGGAGATATTTATCTCTCTCTCAGAAATAAAATAAAATCAGTACGTTTTCAATTTAAAGTAAACACAAGGGCCCAGCACAGTAGCCTAGCAGCTAAAGTCCTTGCCTTACACACACTGGGATCCTATATGGGCGCCGGTTCTAGTCCCAGCAGCGCCGCTTCCCATCCAGCTCCCTGTTTGTGGCCTGGGAAAGCAGTCGAGGACAGCCCAGAGCCTTGGCACCCTGCACCCGCGTGGGAGACCCAGAAGAGCTCATGGCTGCAGATCGGCTTAGTTCTGGCTGTTGCAGCCACTTGGGGAGTGTGTCAACGGATGGAAGATCTTCCTCTCTGTCTCTCCTCCTCTCTGTATATCTGAGTTTGCAGTAAAAACAAATCTTGAAAACAAACAAACCCCACACCTCGCAGATGTTGGAAGACACTTTTCTGATGTACAGTTAGCATCTCATTGCTGGTTGTTTTTACTCTGGTTTATTGCTGTCATTATCCACGTTGGCCTCCAGGGGGAGCATTTCTCTACTCTTCACAAGTCAGCAAAACACCCACTTCCTGGAAATCATTTAGCATTTCCATTGTAGTATCTCATTAAGTGAGCAGAAAAAAAGGGCGGTCATGACAGAATGCACAGGCTCACGTCAGCAAACTGCAGGCCACAGGCCAACTGCAGCTTGCTGCCTGTTTTGAGGCAAGCTAGGCAAGAACAAATGTCCATACATAAAGCCTTAGGGAAGCACAGCTATCCTGCTGCTTTAGCTACCATGTTTAGCTGTTCACAGAGGCAGAGGTGAGTAGACACGAGACAGACCACGTAACTCAGGAAACCTAAAATATTCAGTGTCAAGTCCATCACTGAGAACACTGGTCCACTTCTGCCAGGTACTCACAGGTGCTGTCCCTATGCATCGTCCTCCTCCATGCCCTCCGGTAATCCTTAATTTTCTCTTCCTACTCATTTTGTACCCCTCCCCCCCCCCAAAGGGCTCCCACACAGCATAAAGAAAGTTCCTCTATCTGCAAGCAACTGCACACAGAGAAGGGAACTGCCCGAGGACAGGTTCTGCTGTCCATGAGAGCAGCGCCACACTGATTCCTGGGGACTGCAGCCCACGTGGAGTAAGGAACAAAACAAACAGAAAGCCCCTCTTGTCTGGGTTGCACACAGCAAGGAGCAAGATGACCACAGCAAGTTGGCCAAAGCCAGCTGAGGGGCTGCTTGGGGTCTAAGTCCACAAGAGGCACGAACACAGTGCTTGGGATGGCTCAAGATCTCAGCCATCTGACAAAACCTGAAAGGAGAATTTCAAGACGCTATGAGGGGAGCAGTCAGCTGATGAGAATTATTAGCAACAGTTAATGAATAAGCTAACATTTTCACTGGAGCCAACAGTGACCTTTCAATCTGTAAAATGGCACTGGCCAGGCCCTTCCTTTTTTTTTTTTTTTAATATTTATTTATTTTTATGGCAAAGTCAGATATCCAGATAGAAGGAGAGACAGAGAGAAAGATTTTCCATCCATTGGCTCACTTCCCAAGTGGCCGCAATGGCTGGAGCTGAGCTGATCTGAAACCAGGAGCTAGGAACCTCCTGCAGGTCTCCCATGCAGGTGCAGGGTCCCAAGGCTTTGGGCCGTCCTCTACTGCCTTCCCAGGCCACAAGTAGGGAGCTGGAGGGAAGTGGGACTGCTGGGATTAGAACCAGCGCCCATATGGAATCCTGGCGTGTGCAAGGTGAGGACTTTAGCCACTAGGCTACCGTGCCAGGCCCCTGTTTTCTTTTTCTGCTCCTCCCACACCCAGGACTCAGCCTTTCCAAGGAATAAACATAGAATATTTTTATGGGATGAAGAGTCATCTAATTATTAGTCTCATCATGTGTCTCCACCCAGCCCTATTTATAACTCCATGCTATGGACTTAGTCCAGAACAGTAAAAAACATCCTGAGAAGAGGAGCATGAGGGAAAATCAGCCACAAGGTGCTAAGCCCAGGGTGAGCTGACTGTTGGGGGCACAAGCCCCCTACCTGTCTCCCAGCCCCTTGCAGGAGGGAGCTGCATGTTGAACTTCAGGAGGAAACTTCCGAGCCACATATATATATATATATATATATATATTTTTTTTTTTTTTTAATTATGTTGCATTATGTGACACAGTTTCATAGACTCTGGGATTCCCCCAACCCCTCCCTGTGCCCTCCCTCCATGGTGGATTCCTCCACCTTGTTGTAGTATTACAGATCAAATTAAGTCCAGATTCTTTCTTTGCAAACATATACCAAGCATAGAGTCCAGCATCTTATTGTCCAGGGAAATTCAACTGTTTCTTAGGGAGACCATCTCTGGTCTGAACGTAGAGCTGGCAGAATATCATCCCGATACATTTAATTTTTTTCCACACAAAATTTACATGTCAGAAGTATTCTCCCACATGAAAGAAGGCAACGTGGGAAAGCTCCTCACTGTCCACTTCCAAAAATATGACATTGTGGATGTTTAACAAAATTTAAGGCGGGTTACTACTCCGGACTGTGCTGTTACAGCAGGTCGCAACAGCTCAGATCAAACCAAAATGGAATCACGTGTTAAACACTGCATGATCAAGGGGAAATGCCAAGCAGATAGATCTCCAAACAGACCAGCTTTCCCCCAAAACAGGAGATTCTAGTCTAACATAAGTTAACATAACAAGGGAGTCTTCTCTACTCCAAATCTCACAAGAAAGGCAACACGAAGGAAGTCAGCGTTAGCCAATCTGGTTTTCTTCCTGGTATCATCACTTCCTGGTTTCCACCTGACAAAGTCCACTTCTGCCCCAGCAGGAGCTCTCATTCTTTGTCGTAGAATAGAGGCTATCTTGATTGATAAATCATAAATAAAGGTTAATCAGAACTTTAACTAAACCTGCTTTGTCTTTTGGTGGGAAAAAGGCAAAACTATGCAGACAACAAAAGCTTCCAGAGTAAGCAGGGACTAGGAGGGAGGGAGAGATGAATGGGCACTGGGGATATCTAGGATGGAAAATGATTTTGCATAACACACCAGCCACAGGTACATTTGTCCAAATACACAGAATAAACAACCAGGACTGTATCCAGTATAATGATTGGGCTTTGGTTGAAATGCTGTGTCAATATAGCCATCAGCTTTAACAGATGGACCATTCTGCTGGGTTTGTTTATAATGGGAGGCTCTCCATGACGGGGAGAAAAATAAGGAGGCATGTGGGAATTATCCCCATTTTCTGCTCAACACTGACATAAATCCACAAGTAACCTAAAAAAAAAAAAGTTTAAAAAATTATCTAGGGCCTAGTGCAATAGCCTAGTGTCTAAATCCTCACTTTGCATGCACTGGGCTCCCAAATGGGCACCAGTTCATGTCATGGCAGCCCTGATTCCCATCCAGCTCCCTGCTGTGGCGTAAAGAAGCAGTCCAGGATGGCCCAGAGCCTTGGGAACCAGCACCCACCTGGGGAACAAGGAGGTTCCTGGTTTCAGATTAGCTTAGCCCCGGCGATTGCATTCACTTGGGGAATAAGCCAACCAACAAAAGACCTTTATCTCCTCCTCTCTGTAAACCTTTCTAATTAAATAAATCTTTTTTTAAAAATCTATTACCATTCATACCCCCAAAAAAGTTGTAGAAATTTGTGTTGCATTTTAGATAATCGCTCAAAAATGTTAATCACCCAAATTAATTACGGTTAAGATTGGCCTGACCCCTTTTCATAATCATAAGTTTCTGAGTCCTATTTAAAGCAAACCTCAGGGCTACCTATTATGACTGTAAACTTAAAGCAGTGGCTAAATGATTAGGCAAACACACGGACCTTATCACCAAAGATAATGTCAATTTTTAACAATTTCACCTTCGCTTAAGCACTCAAACATTTGTATTTTTCTTGAGAAGCATTTAGAGCAAATAGCATTTCACAGAGGAAGAAACACTCTAAAAGCTGAAGTGACTGTCCTCGGGTGGCACAACCAAGCAGAAGTACATTCAGGAACGAAACCAACTCAGTCCCACAACCAGGACTGTATCTTGTGTCCTATAATCGTCACAGTAGCAGAACATTCACCCCTCTTTTTGGCAGGGCTGTTATCGCTCACAAAGAGTTCAAGGTTCAACGTCAAACGACTGCTCCTCCGTGCTGGAGTGCTGACTCAGACCCGGAAACCCAGCGCCGGAGTCTGTACACTGAGTCATCACCTCATACTGCCCTCACCAGCACAGCCACTGGCACGGTTACAATGCCGGTGCTTCTGAAAAAAATGGGAACCATGAGACGAACATGCCACGTGCATGCCTGAGCTCATTTCAGCTCATATTTACATACGTCTCATACTTCAACAAACCGTGTGTAATCGGAGCATGCCAATAACAGTCAGCCTCGTTTTCTCACTCAGTCTCCAGACTCTTCCAATTATATCCACCTAGACACTATGGCTACTTAACCAGGAATAGCTTTTCCACACCCAAAGTCTGCTAATGCCTGACTCCACCTCATACATAAACTACTACTGGAACTAAGTAAAGGACGTCTCCATAATGTGCATTTACTGGCATTGTTTTCAGGAACATTTGTGCAAATATACATAGACACACACACACACAGAAGTAAATGTCAAGAATATAGTCATTCAAAAATAAGCAACACTAGAATTAATGTGAAC